TTGCATCAAACTTCAAACATCAAGGCCTCCAAAACACTTAGAATTATATAATCTCAAAAGTAATTCTTTCTAGGTTGTGAAGAGATAATAATTTGTCTGGTAAGCATTTTTATAAACCCACTTATTTTATATTTAGAAAAATCCTAAATGTGTGGTAACTGCTTTGTAGTGAACTTTCATATAATATGAACTAGTTGTGAGATAACATTCTGGTAGCTCTGTTAATAAAACAAAATTTCAGAATTGATGAAATTTTCTATGCAAGGCTTATTTCTCAGATGAATAGTAGGACTTTGTAGTTTTATTTCCAGTAAGTGAAAAAAAAAACTTTTTAAACTGTAGGAGACTTTGATAAATCAGCAAGTGTATTTTAGCTAATAGAATGTAAGTGCAACAGAAGAATCTGACTAGTCTGTGGAAGGTTATATCAAAATTCTATCAAAATAATCTTTACCCAGAGATATTCAGGATTTGAATTAGCAATGGAATAAAAGCAGAGGTGGGCATTTCCCCCCTATTATTGTGTTGTTTTTATTACATTTGTAAATATTGCTTTTACTGGCTGTATTTTTATAACTTAACCCATATGCATGGTATAAAAATTTTAATTTGTAACTATTTCTTCTCATGTAATAGTATTGATTCATAGAAAACTTCATCTGCTCTGTGGAGGCATCTGTTGAGATAAGCATCACACATTGTAAGGCTTTTTGTGGTAACTACAATTGCAAAATGTTTTTTCTGTATTCATTGTTGTATTTTTCTACAGTGAATTGTGACCTTGCCCAAACCACCAGACCCTGGTAGCCAGGCCCCCCTCCATAGTGAGCTGATTGTCTGCACTTGCACTGTCTCAGTAGCCAATAGACTACAGCTTTTGTCCCACATTCTTATTTTCAGTTTCTGGATCATTCTTGTTTTAGTTGATATATACATATAATCTAAGTCCAAAGTGATGATTAATTTGGTATTTGAAAATCATGTAGCAAAATGGAGCATGGTTAATCTCGCTATGAATATCTTTTCATCTTAAAAATATCAAGTCAGAAATGTTTAACATTTTATCTTGTAATGTTTAAGTAATTTACATATGAACTGTGAACTTTATAAGGTACAAAAGTAATCAAAGGGAAAGAAAAAGTGTGGAAAATGCTAGATGTGTTATGTAAAAAGATGTATTTAAACAAGTGGTCCTCAACCCTGACTACAGGTAAGAATCATTTGGAGAATTTCTCAGGCCCAACACTTTCCACTGCTCACTTAATAATTACTAATTTTTTGTTCTAAGACTTTCCAGGTGATTTTAATCTGCAGCCAGGCTTGAAACCAATTGTTTTAAATTAACTTGCCCCTGATAATCTGATGGTATCACCTTATATCACATGAAGATCTAGCTAGATTCAATGTTATGTTTTTGTATCATTGCCTAATATACAATTGTTTTCCATTTTATTGTCCATTATAAAATGCAGGATTCTGGGCTCAACTCCTAGAGATTCTTAACTCAAAGGTGGTATGATGTTAAAAACCTGTAGTTGTAAAAATACCACAGGTGGTTCTTGTGCAAGTAATCCAAGAATCACACTTTGAAAAAATAGTGTAGACTCTAGAGGCCTGGCTGTGCTGGATGCAAGTTTTTGACCTTTAACAAATCAGTCTCTCTGAACTTTTGTTCCCTTGTTTGTAAATGAGGATAAATGATTAAAAAACTTCTCTGCCTACCTCAAAAAGTTGTCAAATCAAGATCAAATGAAAAAAATCACGTGAAAGCTGTTTGAAAATGGTAAATCCGGCCGGCGCCGTGGCTCACTAGGCTAATCCTCCACCTGCGGTGCCGGCACCCCGGGTTCTAGTCCCGGTTGGGGCGCCGGATTCTGTCCCCGGTTGCTCCTCTTCCAGTCCAGCTCTCTGCTGTGGCCCGGGAAGGCAGTGGAGGATGGCCCAAGTACTTGGGCCCTGCACCCACATGGGAGACCAGGAGGAAGCACCTGGCTCCTGGCTTCGGATCAGTGCAGCGCACCAGCCTTAGCAGCCACTTGGGGGGTGAACCAACGGAAGGAAGACCTTTCTCTCTGACTCTCTCTCTCACTGTCTAACTCTGCCTGTCAAAAAAAAAAAAAAAAGAAAGAAAGAAAGAAATAAAATGGTAAATCCCTTATGAAATATAAGGGATTAAGAATATTGAGGATTTATTTGAGGACTACTGTAATATTTCTTGATATGTGTTTACTTTATGTGTACTTTCTCTCACCCTTTAAAACAAAAAAGATGGTGAAAAACAAGCTTTCATCAGGCAAGAGTCTTTTCTGACAGTAATTTGTTTGCATTTCATGTTTCTTTCAAAGCACATGGTCATATATCTTATTATGAGTTATTATTAATTCTTTAAAATATATTTAAACATTTGGCCCAAAGTGTTTTTTCCTCTGTCTTCATTGTCTTTCTCCTTGGATCTGGAGTTAGCATTCAAGACAAGCAAGATCTGAATTCCCTCATAGCTGATAATTAGTAAACCTTTTCTATGAAGGCCAAATTTACAATATAACAAGTAATTTATATATAAATCAATAATTCATGAAGCTTTGTCTGAGAATCCCTTCTGAGAACAGCATGAGAGAACCAAAACAAACATTCACAAACAAAAATACAAAGTTAAAATAAAAGGTGCCAGTTTGAGCTCGAAGATGCTGCCATCCATTGCCATCTGCATTAGATTACCAGCTGCCAAAGTGTTGCTTTTCTTGTACAAGAGGGCCAAGTATAGACAGTTAAGTGAACATTGCTGTGAAAATCTTAACTTTGTGCTTCCAGATTTTTATATATTTATTTGTATCTTCTCTATTAGACTAATTGTTTATGTGTGAATGACTGTATTGACCTTTGGGTTATTTTCAGGAACTATCTATATATTGCTCCACAAAATTTAATTAATAGTGTTGATCCATTGATTTCAGTAACAGAATTTAGTTCGAATCATGTTATTTATCAAACTAGTGCTCCAAATTGAAAACGTTTCCTTTTTGAAGAGACCATTGAAGAACTACAGCAAAAGCCTAAAGTGGCTTAAACTTACTTGAATAAGTCTGGACAGACTTTCTCACCATGTGTTTAATTTGTGTTATGACTGGCATGTGCTAATGTTTAGTGTTTTATTTGTTCACTTGACAACTGAGATAATAATAGTTCTCTCTAAAATGTTTTCATATTATCAAAAAGTTTTGAAAAATACTTTTATTTTGACAGTATTACTTTACTTAGTCATTAGGCAAAAGATGCAAGATAATATAAAGCTCAAAACAAGAGTTTCAAGGAACAGTTGATTAATAACTTAGCAACAACACAGGGCTGAGTACCTAGCAAGGTTTTCAATAAATACTTAAATTAATGAACAACTCATGTCACACAACTTACTTTTACAATAATAGTGAGTCTTACTTCAAAAAAATTTGGAAGATCTTAATATAAAGCTAAGTGAAATGAATAAGAAATAGATGTTATACTGAATGAAGCTTGTTTCTCTTAGAGTAACATTCTATATTACTGTTTTAATTAAAAAGATATACATACAAATATGCACCAACCTTTTTAATTATTTAAAAAGGTGAACATTGATTTTTAGAAGTGAGTAATCAATTCTCGTGCTAAATTAGGTATTTGTGTACCACTTGGGTGAATGAGTATTCAGGCAAGCTTTCCTTTTCTATTGCTTAAGAGTAGATTTATAACAATTCTAAGAATCTTTTCAAATTAGAAAAATCTACTACATTTTAACCTACCTCATAGTTTCTTCCTGATGATGCTGGAAATAACTGAGACTGTACCCTTCTTCATTTAGGCTCTATGCCCATGAAGTAAAAGGAAGAACTTAAGGTTTTGTTTTATGTTTTTGTTTTTGATAAGTGAGTGGATCACTGGCTAGAGCTTAAAAAATCATTAGTACACCAAAATTTTGTTTTGATTATATTTATTTTGTGTTTTGACACATCAAAGGTACATTTATATATTATATTTGGATGACTTGTGTTATGCAAATTCCATTAGGCTTGGAATTCAAAGACCCCCTCTTTATGTCAACTGAACTGCTCATTTAATTTCTTTAATTCTCAATTTCTTCAGTGTAAAATTAGGATAAGATAATTTTTGGTCCCAACCTACTTCAGTGAAGATTATAAGGATCAAATGAAATAACAGGTATTATAGTACTCTAGAACCTATAAATTGCGCTACTGATATTACTTGGTTCTGTTAGAACTTGGGAGTTGCAGAAAACGAAGTTATCCTCCCTGGTATTTATTTTTTAGCAATAAGAACAAAATAGGAATTAGGCCAGTATTCATATGATACAATTAACCATTAAAAATGAGATTCTTTTTAAGAGTATATTCTATTAAGTTGTATGGGCTCTTTAATATTTATTATACTAGAAGATACTCTCAACTTATGTGAAGTTGAATTTGTAGCTAATGTCCAGTAGAAATTTGGGGATCTCCATTATATTTTTCCTTTCATATGGAATTACATAGGTACATTAACTTGACTTTTCTGAAATTTATACAAAACTGTAAAAAGGAATGTAGGCCCTATAACTTTCTTCCTTTGGAGGTTTTTCTGTAGCTAGTTCTGTGTGTTTGAGAACGAGTCTTGAGAAAGGGATTGTGGTACTTCACTGTTTCTCATGGCACAGAGCTTTATATTTTAAGTCATACTACAATGGGAATTGTTTGTATATATGTAGACGTAATTTTTAAAAACTTGTGTTAAAGAATAATTTTTCCCCATTCTTCACACACAAACACACAGATAGCATTTTTATAGAATCTAGATTTACAAGGGAACTCATGATTCTTTTGAACTTTTATGCTTTTTGATGACTGATGACAATAAGAAAAATGTTTACATTTAATTCAGCTATGTTCCATAGCAAGTGGATTATTTTATACTTTATTCTTACATAACTTTAATCTATTTTATTTGAAAAAGCTCGTGTTGGCATCTCTTCACAGTTTTTTTTTTCCCTTGGTTCTAGTTATGTGAATTTTGAGAAAAGCAAAGGAAGATTAAACATCCTTTACTTTTCAACTGACTGTAATCAGTCTCCCAAGTTTTTCTTTTTTTCTAATTTAATTTGAATTTTATACTTCTTTAATAAATTTATATAGGATTACGGTTTTCTCTCAGGTTCCAAATCTTCTAGGAAGATGTTAAACTCCTGTTACCTAGGACACCTGCATCCCATATTGGAGTGCCTGGGCTCAACTCATAGCCCAGGCTTCTGATTCCAGCTTCCTACCTGTGCAGACCCTGAGAGGCAGCAGGTTATGGATCAAATAATTGGTACCTGCCACTCACATGGGAGATGTGGATTGAGTTCCTGGCTCCCAGGTGCCTGAGGGCTTTAGGGGAGTAGACCAATAAGTAACTGGAATATCTAGCTATCTGTCTCTTTCTCCCTCCCCGCCACCCCCCCCCCGCAAATTAAAATTTTGTTGCCATAAGAGGAAATAATGTGTTCACTTATATGTTACTCAGAACCTAAACCAGTACATTATTTCCTGTAAGATAGAGTAGTTCAGCCTATTTGAATGCACTGAAAGGTCATTTCCTTAAGGTATGTTTCATATAATCACCTGTCTCAGGAAATCTATTATGTCTTTTCTTGGATATATTCATTGGTATGATAACATTGCTCATAATGGACTCTCATTTTATTGGCCACTGTGACCAGTTTTCCCTGACAGAAAACAAAATTTTGACCTTGTAATTATTCAAATTTTGAAGACCCACTTCCATTATTTTGCCAGTCACCATTTGCTAAAGTTAGTGTTTTTAGTTTTTTGTTTTTTTTTTTTTTATGCTTGTTATTTTGCATTTCCTGGAGTATGGTGAATTACTTTATTATGTAGCCTGTAAGGTTTTGGTTCTGTGTCAACTTGGTGTATATACTAACTTGCAAATAATTTCTTTATGTAGAGCATATTGACTTTTTAAAAAAATTGGAGCTTAATAGTTTATTTTCTAAATTGGCAGAGTTTTGTGATGATTAATAAAATGCATTATGTTATTTTAAAAATACAGGATTTTGAGTTAGGAATCCCGATTTCTAGTCTTGCCTCCTCTTCAGTGAGCTATGTAACTTTGGCAAGGCATTTTTTCCTCCTGGGGCTTCTGCTTACTCATCTGTAAAAAGAGGGATAGAATGGATTAGATTAGGTGCTGGGTCAAGTTCCACCCACCTCTGATTTTATTTTTTCTTGGTCATCTTACAATCATTACTTTGGGCTTATTTCAATTCTTGTCATACTTCTCATGAACTGTATTTTTCAAAGAACTTATACTATTAATGCAGTTTATATACATATTGGTAAGATTCAAATATGTTATTAACTTTTTCTTTTTCTTTTTCTTTTTTTTTTTTTTTTTTTTTTTTTTTGACAGGCAGAGTGGACAGTGAGAGAGAGAGACAGAGAGAAAGGTCTTCCTTTGCCGTTGGTTCACCCTCCAATGGCCGCCGCGGCCGGCGCGCTGCGGCCGGCGCACCGCGCTGATCCGATGGCAGGAGCCAGGAGCCAGGTGCTTTTCCTGGTCTCCCATGGGGTGCAGGGCCCAAGCACCTGGGCCATCCTCCACTGCACTCCCTGGCCACAGCAGAGGGCTGGCTTGGAAGAGGGACAACCGGGACAGAATCCGGCGCCCCGACCGGGACTAGAACCCGGTGTGCCAGCGCCGCTAGGCGGAGGATTAGCCTAGTGAGCCGCGGCGCCGGCCTTTTTTCTTTTTCAAAACATGACTGTTTATTTATTTGAAAGGCAGAGAGGGAGAAATTTCTCATTCATCCTCTCCCCAAAGTCCTACAATAGTTAGGGCTGGGCAAGGTCAAAGCCAAGAGCCAGGGTTTCAATCTGGGTGTCCCACAAGGTGACAGGGACCCAACTACTGGAGCTCTCACCTGCTGCCTCCTAGGGTGCATATTAGAAGGACGCTGGAGTTAGGAGAAGAGCCAGGACTTTAATGAATGCAGGTGTCTCAAGCAGTATCTTAACCTCTGTGCCAAACTCCTGTCCCTTAACTTTGTTTTCTAGTCTTTAAGTAAATGTAAAGGAGGAAAGTTATGTTACAGATAATAAAAATGAAGGAAAAGTTACAAATAGTGGACATAACTGTTTTTTAAGTGGGAAAAATCTTTTTAAACACCAACATAAGTACTTTAAGTTGATTTACAGAAAAGAATGAGACAAAGTTTTGTGGTCTTTGACCTCTAGTTAGCTAGTAAGCCTCAGTATTATACAAAATATATTCAAGATAAAAATCAGTGACCAAAGTGATTTTAACACTGGCTCGCGACTAACTTTAAAGCTGTCAGGTTTTACCAACATTAAAATAATTGTAAAATATAAAGGAAATTTCAGAAGAGTTGATTGAATTTTTTGTTTAACAATTCTGAAATTGCATTCTTAGATTCATTGAATTAGCACAGCACCTGATTGCCATAGGCAAGTGAATGCCCTGGTTTAAAATATTGTTAGAGATAAACATGGTTTTGAATTTTTTTCTTTCCATAATGTTTCCATGAAAGCTTCTTAATTATCTTAATTATCATCTAATAAAATGTAGAGATTCTATTAGTTCCAGCTTTCAGTTCTCTCAAAGATTAACAGTGTTCTTTGAGAATCAAGCCAAAGAGATCCTTGCTATTTGTAAAGATCATTGTCTTGGCCCTGTCTGCATTAGCTCCTAACAATCTCTTGGACAATATCTAGTTATTGGGTTTGGGGCCTGGTGGTTAGTGGAAAATTGAGTGGAAAGATGTATTCGTTTCTCATGTGATTTCTTTACCTACACTGTTTTTTTTTTTTTTTTTTTATCTAGAATGTCAGATCATTTCACTGGATCATGTAACTGCCGGCTTCTAGAAATCAAATTAGATGCCGAACTTTTCTCTTAGAGAAGCCTACACTATGAAAATGTTAATTTGATTGCCTATAAACAGAATAACAACACCACATTTATTTTCACTTTTCAGTCTGCAAGTTTTGGTTGTCACACTGGTTAAATTTGAATCAGATCTAACTTCATTGAATGTTTTCTTGATTTTGTTAATAGTATATTCTATAAAATAAGCCAAATAATCCTAAAGTTAATTTATATTTATCCACCCACCATTTTCCTTTTTCTCCTAACTACTCCTACCCTCAGCTTTGAAAAGGAAATCTGCAGATACCTTGTCTTAACCTTGCCCCAGATAAATTTTCCCTAAAGTAATCTTATCAATAGAAATATTTCTATAATTCTATATTTCTGAAACAAAATCAATGTACTAGTTCTTTGTATTTCACTGAAGTGAAAATGTACTTGAAAATGATGTATTTCCTTTATATATGAGCTTGAAAAATATAAAAAGGACTGTGCAGATCGGGAAGTGCTCACATCATAGGTGCCATTGTGATTAGGTGTGAGCTATCAGACTAAATCTGAATTACTTATCTTTCTGTAATACCTAGCTTCTTTAGAATTATCTCACTTCATATGTCTTTAATGCTAACTTAAAACAGTTTTTCTGCTTTTATTTTCAAATGCCAGATTCTTGCTTTGAGTTTTCTCATTGAAGTTTAAAATTATTTTATATGTGGATGTGTGACTCTGGTTCAGACATTTGCTTTGGCATGATAAAGATATTACTGCCATCATCCCTTTCTCCCAGCTCCTGAAGGGAGGTCTCATTTAACAACTCAAAAACTATTAAATTGTCTTGTCTTGTTATTTGAGAAAACTATGAAAGGAGTTTCTTCAAAATTAAAAGTTTTAGATTCACATTTCCCTGATGGCTAGTGATCCTGAGCATTTTTTCAAGTGTCTGTTGGCCATTTGAATTTCTTCTCTTGAAAAATGCCTGTTCAAGTCTTTTGCCCATTTCTTTAACTGGATTGTTTGTTTTGTTGTTGTTGAATTTCTTGAGCTTTTTTTAGATTCTGGATGTTAACCCTTTATCAGCTGCATAGTTTGCAAATATTTTCCCCCTTTCTGTCAGTTGCCTCTTCACTTTCTGAGTGTTTCTTTTGCAGTGCAGAAGCATCTCAGCTTGATGTAATCCCATTTATCAATTTTGGCTTTCACTTCCTGTGCCTCTAGGGTATTTTCCAAGAATTCTTTGCCTATGCCAATGTCTTGCAGGGTTTCTCCAATGTTCTCTAATAATTTGATGGTATTGGGTCATAGATTTAGGTCTTTGATCCATTTTGAGTAGATTTTTGTTTAAGGTCTAAGGTAGAGGTCTAGTTTCATAGTTCTGCATGCACAGATCTAGTTTCCCCAGCATCATTTGTTAAAGACTGTCCTTGCTCCAGGGATTGATTTTAGTTCCCTTGTCAAAGATAAGTTGATTGTAGGCACATGAGTTGATTTCTGGAGTTTCTATCTTGTTCCATTGGTCTATAGGTCTGTTTTTATGCCAGTACCAGGGTGTTTTGATTATAACTGCCCTGTAGTTTGTATTAAAATCAAGTATTGTGATGTCTCCAGCTTTGTTTTTGTTGTATAATATTGCTTTAGCTATTCAGGGTCTCTCGTATTTCCATATGAATTTTAGCATCTTTTTTTTATAGATCTGCAAAGAGTGTAATTGGTATTTTGACTGGGATCACACTGAATCTATAAATTGCTTTTGGTAGTATGTACATTGTGATGATGTTGATTCTGCCGATCCATGAACATGGGAGATTTTTCCATTTTTTAATGTCTTCTATTTCTTTCTTTAATGTTTTATAATTTTCATTGTAGAGATCTTTGGCTTCCTGGGTTAAATTTATTCCAATAATTTCTGTATTTTAATATGGTAGTGAATTTGGGATATTATACAAATGTGTCAATAATTAATTATAATTTCCTGTAATATGCAGTGCTCAAAGCTCATGTTTATTTAATCTAAGCTGTTTTTGAGTCTTGTCTTATTTTCAGAACTCATTAATTTCTCATCTGAGAAATGAGAAATTTTCTTATCAAACTATCTGAAGGTTTATGAAGGATACTCTGCAGGTAACCACAGATCTTTTCACAAAAAGCTTTTGTTTTGTCATTAAATGTCCTAGTTTTTTAAAAGACATGTTATCAAAATGACTTTAATAATCAAAGCAAATACCTTTTGAGAATCCATAAATTATGTAAGTCTTTTATTGTCTGTATAGTTTTTAAGTTTCTATAACTTGCAGTTCTGTCATATTAAAGGATTAGTCTGTAAATATTATTTAGAGGCAAAATAATTTTTTGCCCTTCATACCTAATAAAGACTCCAATTTTGCTAGCTATAGAATCTTAGGGTGAGATTTTGGCCTACTGGTTAAGACACTACTTGGGATACTTATATCTCTTACCAGTTTTTGGATTCTAGTCCCAGCCCCACTTGAGATTGTAGCTTCCTAGTGCAGGCCCTGAGAGGCAGCAGGTGATAGCTGAAGTAGTTGGGTCCCTGTCACCAATATGGGAGATTCACGGCCCCAGCTTTGACCAGGCCCAATCCCAGCTTTTGTGAGCATTTGGGGGAGTGAGTAGATAAGAGCTCTCTTATATGCCTTCTTTTCTCTCTCTCTCGCTCTCGCTCTCTCACTCTCTTGCTCTCTCAAATAAACTAAATAAATTTATGAATGCTATAAATACTTCTGTGTTACATAGTCAACACGTTTGCCATAAAATGCCATTTAAAGGTTTCTTTATATCTGTTTGAAATTATAAGAATAAAAATATGTAAATATAAAAATATGAGGTGCTTATGCAAGGATTTCTCAATTTTATGATCTAGAAAGTTGTGAATTATGTTGTTCCAAATTCAGACACCCCCTTATATAAATGATATTACTATGAATAATTTAGAAACATGTTAGCCAGCAAAAGCTAATCTAACACATTGTAGAATCACTCTGGGTATCTTAATGTTGTGTACATTTTTATAGTTGACAAAGCTTTGATCTATCAATAAGTGGTTGATATACTTCTTCCTAGGGGATGCTCATGAAACTCTGAGCCCTGCTTACGTCCATACTCTTCCCATCTGACCTATTCCTTAAATGCTACATTCTCCAAAATCTTATTAGCTGGCTTCTATTCCCCATCATCATTCTTTACAATACTTCCAAAATATGACCCATCTCAGTTGTTAAGAAAAAGGAAGTTTGCTTTAACCAGTTCATATTAAAGTGCTGGTGACCATATCACTTTTATCTCTCTTAAAGAGAAATCTGTGTTAAAAACACATTGCTGTTGGCACAGATTATCTCAATGAGTAGAATATTATTTTAAAACAGAAGTAAAAATAATATCATTTAATGTTGGTGGAACTGTTTTGAGGAAACAGAAATCGTGAAGTGACCTGATTTGAAAATATGTCCCTTTGCTCTGAAACCGTGTGAAGTCTCAGTGCTGTATGTCCTCAGTGACCTTCAGGAAGGGAGCTGACTGCCTGTGTTCATGGGTCTTATGAAGTCAAGGCTGCAGATGTGGGTTTTTTTTCTTTCAGTTCAAGAATGATATCCAGAGTGTCCTAGTTCTGTATCACCTGTAATTTTTAAAATCTATCAGTGTTTCTATGTTATTGTGTTCCACCTTACAGCAACATCTGTCTGTTCATTGATACGAAATTTCCAGATGAACACTGTTCATACTTGTGAAAAAAAAAAAAGGTCTTCCCATTTTCAGTTTTTCAGGAGACTTAAAGTTATAAAATGCATTATTCCATTTGCTCTGTTCCAAAAAATTGCTGTTTTTAAATAGCTGGCACTTAGCATTTTAGTTTTTCTCAGTTGAATTGCAGAGGTGATTCTAGATTGATTCTAAATTTTTAATCTTGCTTTATCACATAAATATCTAGTTATAAAGTTTACAGATTGAATTTTGTGGCATTAATTCTTCATGTTTCTGTTTTAAACATTCATTAAAACTGTTCATTCGTTTCCAAGTGAGTGGGAAAGTTGCCATTGTTGAGCTATGTATAGGGCAAGTGCACTGTATTAGAGCATGTACTGTATTTTCACATTAGCTGGATGTGCTTTGCACTCTGCTCTTGTAGATTTATTTTGTTTACAGTAGACTGATGTCAGTTTTTGTAAATGTTTTTTCTTAGCACTTTAACTGTGAGTGTACAAACTGATTTTAAATGTAGTGGTTGTATATTTTGGTTATAAATTGGAAATTTTTAATAAAATTGAATAATTTATTCTCTTTGCTGTCATCATTATCTGAATGTAGTTTTGTACCTCATGTTCCAGCTTCTTTATTTAAACAGCCTAGTTAACATATTACACGGCTATCATAAAATTAAGTTTCATATATCATATTCCTACAACATTACTAAGTTTTCTTATTCATAATAGCATGAGAATCACAAACCTCTGATACATAAAAATATAAAAACACACATCATCCTATATCTTACCCTTCTTTTGCACTTGTTTTGTCACTGTAGATAAAACCATCTCTGTTTATTGTTACATCCTCAGTACATAGTAACACTAGTAGTCACATAAATAGAGCCATAAGAAATACCTGTTAAAAATGAATACATTAGGCCGGCGCCGCGGCTCACTAGGCTAATCCTCTGCCTTGCAGCACTGGAACACCAGGTTCTAGTCCCGGTCGGGGCGCTGGATTCTGTCCCGGTTGCCCCTCTTCCAGGCCAGCTCTCTGCTGTGGCCAGGGAGTGCAGTGGAGGATGGCCCCAAATACTTGGGCCCTGCACCCCATGGGAGACCAGGAGAAGTACCTGGCTCCTGCCATCGGATCAGCGTGGTGCACCGGCCGCAGCGCGCTGGCTGCAGCGGCCATTGGAGGGTGAACCAACGGCAAAGGAAGACCTTTCTCTCTCTCTCTCTGTCTCTCACTGTCCACTCTGCCTGTCAAAAAAAAAAAATTAATACATTAGAATATATCAGTTTTCCAGTAAGAAATGTAACTCATATAAGCAAATATCAAGTAATTTTTTTTTCATGCAAGGGTAGGCTAGCTAGTACTTAAAGTTCCATTAGCAGTGTAGTGTGTATCTTTCCTGAATCATACAGTCTTAACTTGGAAGGAACTTTCAAATTCATAAAGTCCAGCTTCCCACCTGGTGCAGAAATCCTTCAAAACACCCTCCGTTGCGAGCCTCTGCTTTAATGAGTTCTGTAGCAGGAAGTTCACGGCTAAGTAAGACCTTCCATCCCATTCTGAGACTGCTCTCTAATTGTTATATAAAGCTTTCCTTATATTGAGTGGGTGCTGTTATATTGTTGGTGCTGTTCTACAGCTAAGTAATTCTTTCTTAGGACTACTTTCTAGACATTTGAAAAAAGGTACCCTGTTTTCTCCAAATCTTTTCTGTGGTCAAAACATGTCCCTGTTTTCTTACTCTCCAAATCTCCTATGACATCCTATCATACCTTGATTATTCCTCTCCAAAACAGTCTGGTTAAGAATATCTCTTTTAAAATCATCTGAAGAACTGAACATGTATCTCCAGATGCCATAGAATCAGTGGGGAGTCCACTGGACACTTTTATGTATACTGTACTTCTGTTAAGTCGACATTTACACAGAAGAACAGGAGCCCCTTTTAATAATCAGATCCCTCCGATCATTGGAAGTCGGGCAGTCTAGATGCTGATGATATGAATAAAGGGGAAATGCTGAGAATTGAGGGTGTTCACAAGTGAGGGAAAGAATGAGGTTTTTTGGTTGTGTTATCCTTGACCATCAACTAACTTGGTAGGCTAATGCTGATCATTAGCTGATTGAGAACGAATCATTGTGTGCTGTGGTGCATAGCTACCCATGCATGCCCAGCTCCTTCATCTGCAAGCAAAGAACTGGGCTATGCCAGTTGCTTTTAGCTATGAAATTCTTTCTCAGTAGGTAAACCGGAGAAAAGCAGACTTCTGTTGAAAGAGAAAGCAAGGTGCCAGGAATCCCACTTCTTCGGCCTAGCCGCCTTACCCTGCTCTCCTGCAGCAGCCCTTGAAGCATCCAGATAAACTCTGACAGCTCAAAGAGCCCACTTCAAAAACCATGAACCTTTTCTGTTTCTCAGCTGTGGTGTTGGTCACACAAACCTACATGTGATCAGATTGCATAGAACTGTGTGTATACATACACACACGAATGAGTGCATGTTAAACTGATGGAATCTGAATAAAACAGATGGGTTGTAGCTATGCCAGTTTCCTGGTTTTTATGTTGTATTATAGTTACCAAAAAATGTTATCATTAGGGGAAACTGGATATGAGCTATTTATTAAAACAATATGTACATCTGCAATCATCTCAAAAAGTTTAACAGATTTTTAAGTTAGCAAATTAAGATGATCGCCAGATCCTTTCTAGAATTCTGTGATTCATGATCAATTTATTTTCTGGCTACCTTTTCACTTCCGTTAGTTTTTGAGAACCTATTACTGTTTGTGTTGAAGAGATTCTTGGTTAGAGTCTCCTACCTAGAAAGCCTTCAATTCATGTTTGAGCTTTCTAATTTTCTCAACTGAAAACAGTTATCAGGCTAGGGTGGCAGTGGGGATGCTTTCAAAACTGGGATTGGCTTTCAGATCTCAGTCCTACAACTGCCAGGAATTCTGCCAACAACCAGAATAAGCAAAAGAAGCAAGAACTCTGCCCTCCAAGTGTCCAGAAAGGAACTGCTGACTTCCTGCTTTCTGGTCAGTGAGACCCACCGCAGACTTCTGAGCTATAGAACTGTAAGATAATAATACTGTGTTGCTTAAACCAGTAGAAACCTAATGTACTAAGCCTCACACCTCTGATTCTGCAGCATATAGGCAATAAACAAATGAGTAATGGAAAATTGGCCAAGGAGTCCATTAAGAATCAGAAGCATTTCAGAGTCCTGGCCAGTTGCCATGAAACACACGGCTGAGGTAGGTGGAGGCAGTGGGAGGTGTTGAGATTAGTAAGAGCAAGTAGTCCCTGCTACTTTTCTTCTGATTTCATCTTTTTTTTTTCCACCATTATTTTTTCAGTTCTCTTCTTGTCATTTGTTCCCAAATCTCCCTTTTTTTGTCTTCCATCCTACTTTCCTCATGCTTAAAATTCTACTCCTCATTTTTTGTCTAATCTAATCTAATCATACATTTTTAGCAGCCCCACACTCTCCCAACCAGAAAAATTATTTTGTCAGGAGACAAAATTGGGGCCAGCATTGAGGTGTAGTGGGTAAAGCCACCATCTGCAATATTATAGGTGCTGGTTCAAGTCCACTGCTGCTCCACTTAAGATCCAGCTCCCTGCTAATGCACTGCAGAAAGCAGTGGAGGGTGGAACTTGGGCCCCTGCACCCATGTGGGAGACTTGGAAGAAATTCCTGGCTCCTGGCTTCAGACCAGCCATGGCCATTTGGAGAGTGAACCAGTGCTCTGTGTGTGTCTTTCTCTCTTGGTAAACTCTGTCTTTTAAATAAATAAATAAATATTTAAATAAATAAATAACTAAAAGAAAGAGACAAAGAGCAGATAAATTTGAGTTGTTCAAGTGTACCAAGTATGAAAAAGGGAACATAGATTTATTCCCTGATCTCTGGGTACTTTTGAACAATGTACACATACATAAAAGCGAGTTACATACAAATCTACTTATTTTAAAAACAAAAAACTATGATATCAAGTACTCAAGAATAATTTTTAAATAACAAAAGCTTTTTGCTGGGACCAGTGCCGTGGCCCAGTAGGTTAATCCTCTGCCTGTGGCACCAGCATCCCATAAGGGCGCCGGTTCAAGTCCCGGCTGTTCCACTTCTGATCCAGCTCTCTGCTATGACCTGGGAAAGCAGCGGAGGATGGCCCAAATCGTTGGGCCCCTGCACCCGCATGGGAGACTGGGAAGGGGCACCTGGCTTCTGGCTTTGGATCAGTGCAGCTCTGGCCGTTGCGGCCATTTGGGGAGTGAACCAACGGACAGAAGACCTTTCTCTGTTTCTCCCTCTCACTGTCTGTAACTACCTCTCAAATAAATAAATAAAATCTTTAAAAGAAAAAAACGCTTTTTGCTAAGGTACTGACAAGTCACTGTCTTCCATTCTGCTGCAGAAGAATTATAATGAGCTCTTTTCATTGTCTGCAGACAGCTGAAGACTAAAGATCCTGCAGTGCTAACAGAAAGTAATCAACAACCTCAAATAATACTAGATGTACACATGTACAATAATAAGGACAACAGGAATATATAAACGCTTCACGTGAAGTGAGTCAACAAAACATGTTTTTATTTTGGAAATGTTTTAGACACTAGACTTTTTAGAAATTTGCTAAAGATAGCCAGTAAATTCACATGCTATATCTGTATGCAAGCGTCTGGTTTCCCACCTGTGGAGGTGGCCAAAGGGCAGAAGAAGGGAGGTTATTCTCTGGAAAGAAGTTGGGCCACATTGAGTTTGCCCAAGGGAACCACATGTAGCAGTCCCTATGGCAGAAACAATCTATGTGCTACTCAGCCATCATTTAGTGGATTCCAAGCGAATCCTTGCACTTTTCAGTGTGATGATAAGCATTTCAGAAAAACCCAGACTGTGTAGGCCATGTGACTGCCAGAAATTAGTTTATTTCTGGAGCCATTACAATGGCACTAAAATTAATTAGCAAATGCAGAGATACTAAGGAGAAAACAAACTAAATCTTTGGATCTAATAATTCTTCCTTCCTTCTCCTGTCCTGTTGATCGTAGAAGCTCTTTTGCAGCAACATGATATATTTGATTCTAAGGCTGTTGTAAGCTGTCAGAGTTTTTTTCCCAAGAGTCAAGCATCGTGTATTGTTTCTCTTGTCTTACACAAGTCATTTTAGAAAATGATGTGTCAAGCCATTGTTATCAGTCAATAGCATTTATTCATTCATTCATTAGCTAAGTACTCATCTGTTTACTTACTCCTTACCCTAGACATTCAAATAAGAAAATGATGTGGTTTCTCCTCTTGCAAAGTTCACAGTACAGTGAGGAAATAAACTGTGAAACATCTGAGTACTGCAGTATTGGTGAGTTCAGGGTATTATGGAAGCACAAATGAGTAAGAAGTTGCTTCTAACATGAGGACTGAGGATACAAGGAGTGTTATAGATTATTATTAGTAATAATTACTAATTATATAATACTAATAATTACTAATTGGTCACATTAATTGCCAAGATTATGATAGGGAACAAAACAGACAATTGAAACGTACAGTCTCGGCCGGCGCCGTGGCTCACTAGGCTAATCCTCTGCCTTGCAGTGCTGTGGCCAGGGAGTGCAGTGGAGGATGGCCCAGGTACTTGGGTCCTGCACCCCATGGGAGACCAGGAGAAGTACCTGGCTCCTGCCATCGGGTCAGCGTGGTGCGCCGGCCGCGGCGGCCATTGGAGGGTGAACCAACGGCAAAGGAAGACCTTTCTCTCTCTCTCTCTCACTGTCCACTCTGCCTGTCAAAAAAAAAAAAAAAAAAAAAAGAAAGAAAAGAAAAGAAAAAGAAACGTACAGTCTCGTAATCTGAAGTTTGAGTCTAAAGGGAGAACACAGATGATAAGTAATAAATCAGCAGACTAATTTCAGGTTATGAAGTAACAGCATCCTATAAGGAGATTCTTAAGGGTGTTGGTAAAGAATATGGATATTGGTTAAAGTGAAAAATAGTGCCATTGAAGCATTTTAACTAAGGAAGTAACATGGCATAAGTAAATAAATGATATTTAAAAGAATGAGGAGGCAAAGACCTATATGAAGTGCTAATGGTTGAATTCTCTGGGACTGTTAAAAGACACTGTCAAGTCCATGGAGCTCGGTGAGTTTCACGATTTTATTTTCAGTTGCACTTAGACACCTTATAAGAAAGTGAAAGAACATATGAAGAGAAAAAATAAGGCAGCCAGAGCAGAGACAG